ACCTGCACCGAGTAGGGCAACTTGTTTCTCCTTGAGAGAGGAGTCGTGATACACATTTAAATGCAGAGCAATTAATAAAATTATATAGTTTGATTTAATTACAATCTTTGCAACTAAAAAAAACCCCATCAATTTGAAGAGACAGATAATATTTATGAAATAAAAATGATTTAAATGAGCTTTGAAAACTTATCCTGTCCATAAATTACATAATTTATAAACAATACCAAAGGAACGATAATATTAATATTTCTAGATCAATTGTCTCATTTTATACAGAAAAAAACCTAATTTTGGAAGAAAAAAGATCATATTCACACCAACGACCTAGATCACATTTTGTAACTTAAACATTATTAAACATCTACACACGATTGTGTTTAAAATAGAAAACAGGCTTATAAATAAAAAAAATATTATAAACGAAATACAAGGTTCCCAAGCTCCGAATTTCTCTGGTTTAATTCTTTTGTTTCTCACGTCAACTAGTATGAGTTCAGTTTAAAACTTAAAATTGTGTATTTTATTTATTTATTTATTTATTTTCTTTTTAATAAGAAAATGAAAATTTTAAAAGTTGATTTCCCCGTGCAAGCAGACAAAACATCCATCATTTGCACACCTCGTGCCCTCTTGATAGTCAGTTTAGTTTTCACTCATCTCTCGAATTTCCTCTTCTTCCGACACGAAGAGTGCAAAAAAAATTTGCGAAACGCTCTCCTGGCACACACGCACGATAGGTATTGGCGGTGTGTGTGTCAAACTGTCATTAACTTTTCAATGCAAAACAGCGCGCGCCAGTCAAACAACTATGCATACCTGATGTTTTATGTACAAAGCGGCGGGCCAATCAGCTGCGTCGATTTCCCTATCAGCGCTTTTCGCTGCTCGCAGTGCAAAAAAACACGGCATGTTTGCACCGTGCGTGCCTTTGTGGGGCCGGATTTCGGCGTTGGGAAGAGCAAAATCAGCCGAGCTAGTTGTTTAATTATCGATTTCCCGCCGCTTTTTCCGTCCGTCGCGAGCGCACACCGGCCCATTCATGCGCTAATTCCAGATTATTGTTCTCCACAAATTTTTACGCGTGGTCGTGCTTTCAAGAGACCACTTGCGTGCGAATAATAAAATTACAGGAGAGAACGCTTCATTAATCCTAAATATTATGATTTAACTAATTGCAGCTGCGTTTTTATATGAAGTGTCTATTCAATTTGTCCTGGTCACGTTTAAAAGATTTGTCACAAATTCATTTTGGATATAGAGTCATTTATTAATTAAAATTTAATATGCCTATCAATTTTTATGGTGATCTTTTTAAGAAATAACTTGAATTCTAAAATTACTTTTTTAATGAGGGGAGATTTCTTTAAATAGGCAAGTTTAAACGTTATCCAAGACGTCACAGCAGTTTTGTTTTTAATTATGGAATATATTCAATTCTCAATTTATTATATATATTAATTGAAGAGCATATTTATTTCAAGAGTTCAGACTCGGATCCTAATTTGAGGTTAACAGGTTATTTGTATCAATAATTGAGCGACCTAGTTCAACCAGTCGTCCCACAGATGAAAAAGGATTTTTCCAATTATTTCTACTGAAATGAACCTGGAAATCTAGAGAGGCGCAGCATCTCATTTAAACGGCCCATATTCTTTTGTATGCACGCGCCTCTGCAGATATTAAGTCATTAACCCCTGCACTCTTACAATTAATGATCAACTGTGGGAGTCAGATTATACTATAGGAGGATGGGCGAAGTACAAATAATGATGAGAGAGAAGCAGAACTTGTAATATGATATTCTCCACAGCGTCAGGTATCTAATGACGTGGCAATGGAAACCATAATTCCGCTACATCTTTTTTCATTAATAATAAATTTTTTAGCTTTTTTTGTAATACTTTCTTTTTTTCATGAGTCAATCGTATTCATGATTTTAAGATGCAGAAAATTGCACTCGAATAAAACATCAAAGCTCTTTTACGCTGAATAGAACAAATTATTGAAACCAGAAAAAACTTTTCTGTATATATATACATTTTTTGTATTTTTCTTATTTCAGAGTTTCTATTCCATCAATGCAGGCGAAAATGAGCACGGAGCAGAAAGTTCTCCGAGCAGAAAGAGCTTTATTGCAGAAAACATTTCGGAGAGTGAATGGCTTCGAACACAAGGCGCGCAATCTTTCAAGATTGGGCAAAACTCGGCGCCCTATTTGTGCAGGCTGCTCGCTCTGCTCTCGTCGGCAATATTCAAAATGTAAACAAGAAGCTGCATCAAAAGTTATGTTGTTTGGCTGGCTGGCGTGCGCGAGTCAACAAACAATATTTTGCACGATTACCCGGGCTTTGCGTGCGGCTTCGGCCCGACTTTCATCTCTTTTTATATGCTCGCTCTGTGCAATTTTTCTCATCCATCCTTCTTCCCCTGCCGTGCATCATACCACGTGCAGGGGTGTGGAGAATTTTATATGCCGTCTGCGAGCTTTGGCGAGAGATACGGTGTAGCACTTGATGATCAAACCGCACGGAAAAGACTTTGCATAATCAAGCTTCTTGGGAAAGGCCCAAAATCTTGATACATTTGCTTCAGAAATTTGACCGATTTCAAATGTATGCATTACAATATATTTGAATGGATAATAAATCAATACATCAAATTTTTCTAAAACAGGTAAATTTTGTATTAATTTTTGATACAACTAAATATAGTGACTAAATTACGCATTTTATTTTATCTATTGGAATGTAGGATTTTATGAAATTTTCAACAATTTAACCTGCAGCATTTTGTGAAATCTAAAATAAATTTTTATAAAAATATCAATAAATAAAATACTAATACATTGAGTCGGCACCTCAAAACTGTTGCAATGAGATCAATATTTTATTTATATTTTTTCCATTTTGTTAAAGAGTTTGATTTAAAAAATATATATATAATTACTACGGTGTAAAATGCTGATCACAAAATATATAATTAGCGTTTTCAATTTTTCAGAAATTAAAAATGCATATTATTATGTTTTAGCAAGATCATTAAACAAAGAGGAAAATATTTCAGAACAAACCCAAAATTTTTAGATTTCTTAAATTTTGATTTTTTTTTCGCCTACCCTTCTAAGATTCTAAATCATCATTGAATAAATCTGCAATGAAGATTTTCCTTTGCACAATCAATTCTTATAATTTATTAACGTACGCGTTTCTAATTTCAAATATATTCCAGGAAATCTGTCTTTTGTTAATTAATAATTATTTTCCAAAAGTTCCAAAACAAATAACATCGCAAACAAAATACACAAAACATTCTGATGTTTCAAGTCTACTTTATGTAAGCAGAAATTAACAAAGTAATCTCTGGCGTTGGAAAATCTTTTACGTTTTGCTGGCGCGCGTGTTTGCCATTTTTCCGCAGCTCTAGGCCAAATATTGTTTTATCAGCAAGTCAAACAAAACAAGTGAAACGCCAACGCGATAATGTACGTGTAACTCATCTGCCGTCGCCGCTCACTTTATAGTTGATGGGAAACAACAAACAGTAGATGAGCTCGAGGAGTATAGCAGCATCTCGCCATTAACGCTTTACTTCAGCCTGGCTGCTGCGTGTATGCATATACTTAGGTGCGGCAAGCTCCTGATAATCCCCAAGGCTTTATGCTCACGGCGCGTGTCATCAAGACCAAATTAAATTTGACGTTTTGCGAACAAAATTATCGCCACTCCAAGAGACAAAACAGAACGCAGAGGCGCACGAGAACAAATCATGGGTCTAATGAGGGTTCCTAGTTTCAATGGGGTGGGAGATAGGAAGGAATTAGAAGGCTCCAAAATCTAGCAAATTAGCAAAATTTAATTAAGAGACGAGTATTTTCAAGGATTTCAAGAAAAAAAGTAATTTGGAAAAATAAAAAAAGTTATAATCTAAATTTTTCGAAAAATAGAAAATATAAAATAAAAATTTTCATTTAACATGAAATACGCTTTAAAGTTCAAGCATTTTCAAATCTGAAAACTTTTATTACTGATCAAAACCATAGACTCTTGCCAGACAAAATTAAATTAAAAGTTTTTAGAAGAGTTTGTATTCTAAATTTAAATTTGTCAATATCCGTGAGAAAATCAATATAATTATAAAGTATAATAGTGATGTGCATTATTTGATTGTATTCAATTAATTTACTTTCTCAATTGAATTAAATAATATAAAAAAATTAATATAAATCTTATTTGGGAGTAAATTGAAATTTAGCTCGCTGGATCACAAATTATTAAAAAACTCTTATTGACTGAACAAGAAAAATCAAGAGAGTTTTAAAAAAAAATTCAGCGTTTTACTTTTTTCAAGTTTTTTTTTTTCAAAACTAGATTGAATCATTTTGTACTTATGAAAGCCAACATGTGAATGAAAAAAATCAATGTACTTTAATTGCAAAAAATAAATGACTATTTCATCTCTTTGCTTAATTAACTCTATCGGAAGAATCATTTGAATTTTGAAATTTTCTTTTTGTTTGGGTTATGTAACATGACATTATTGGTGTCCCCATAAATATTTCTTCAATTTCAAAATTACTCAGCTTTATACACTTACAGTGCTTCAAAGTAAGGGTTATTCATTAATGACTGGTGCAATGTCATGTAAAAAGGCATTGGCAGGCAACGAAGTCCGGCGCCTATTAATTAATACCCGCAAACAAAAATTTGGCGGACACATCCGCACCTTTGAGGGCTCAAGAACAATGACGCATCCAACCACCCCGTACATAGCTTGCATGCAACCAGCGTCGTCGACCAACCCCGTTTATACATATCAAACAATACACAGAGTAGCACGCCTGCTGTAATAACACAAAGGAGGCATTAGAGAGACCAGATGATAATCTGCGCAGCCAAATCTCATCTCTCTCTTTTGTTCCGGGGCGGATTATTTAGTTTGTTTGGCCTCTCGTACAAAGGACGAAAAGTGAGAGTGTAATTAAATTAATCCGCACTTACCGTGCACGGAGCCGACGGACGCCGACAAGACGAACAACAAACTTAACAACCGGCACACAAACCGCCAGCATGCTCGTCGTCTGTCGGCAGACGACATGGTCACCCGGTGGTCCTTTTTTCGCTCTTCTCCTTTGGGCTAGACAACCCGCACTGCACTCAGAGGAAAACTATTGCGAGGGTAGTTTTTCGCGTCTGTACGGCGTTTTTGTGAGGGGGCGTATGAGAAGAGGGCACGTCGAGCGGACACACTCGCGCTGCGGGTCTGTATGCAGACTGACGAGAGCCGAACAACCTGATGCTCGTCCTAGTCCTACACACCACCGCCACCCTCCAGTGCGCATGCACCCCAACCCCCGAACGGACAGGGAGGAAAGCAGGGGCGAACGCCGCGTTCCGGTCTCTTTAAAGTCGAGTTTTCCGTTTCGCTTTGTGTTTATTAAATGTTTTTTGTTGTGAATTCAAATTTCCCTTTCTGTGAAATTTGAAAGGATGTAGAGTTTCAATTAATTTTTTATTTTTTTTTTTAAACTAAAATTGTAAATTTTATACCGATAATGTGACAAAAGCGATCTTTCAATGTAGACCTGAGCAGCATAAACTAAAGGTGCACTATAAATACAAATTTTATTAATTTTTTGAAATATTAAAAGAAAATATATAATATAACTCTTATAAACTATCGTCCAAAAACTTTTATGTGGTCAAATATATCTTGATTATAGAAAATTATTAAAAATGCAGATTTTAACTATAAATTTCCGAAAATAAAAAATTAAATTATGTTTCATCACAAGTTTCAAACAAAAAAATTAAACATCTTAAATTTTAGGATGAATTTAATTAAAAATATTTGGTTCCATCAATTAAATTTTATTTTTATAACGCTTCCTTTTTTTCTTCAAAATCTATCGAATTCAAAAGTAAAAATGATATCTTTTAAAACGCCATTAAGGGTGCCATGGCTTCATGTATAAGAATGCATTTAATTATTCAGAGAGGACAGGCATTTTGAAATTGTGTCAAAAAAAAATAATATAGAGCGTTATGCAAAGGAACACAATGAAATATTTATCAGATCAAATATCGGAATGGACGTTTCGCCTTCTTGTGCTCTCCAGCCATGTGTACTTTTCCCTCTGTCAGAATACATAATAATAACACACACAATCGCTCCGAGTGATCAATTCGGCAGCGTCAAATCCAGCGAGCGAGCAACACATTTGTGTGTTCCAAAGCGCAAAAATCAATCGGCGCGGCAGGCAAACAAAATTTCTTAGAACCGCTACATAGGTGCACTTAAGCAAATTACACAGCGAGGGTGGCGGAACGATCGGGCCTGAGAAAAAATCATCTCGGTGTGGCTCGATTAATTTAATTAATGGCCGCGCGTGTTGCGAAATCATCTCGTTGCCAAACACTATCATAACAATAACGCGCGCGCGGTGGATCTGCCGAGGCAAGAGGGCGAACAAACATTGCAGACGCGGCGCTCATTTAATTAGGCTGTGCGGTTTGATCTTGCGGTGTCGTGATGGCAGCAGGCCCAAACTCCTCTGCTGCTCTGTATAAGCATGCCCGGCACTCTAAACTCAGTTTAATTACTTAATGTGCGGAAAAAATAGCGCAGATTGCGTGGCGCCACAATCTCTACTGCAAAAAGCCAATTGTGCGCCGAGCGCCCTCAAAATTTCTGGAAATGGAGTGGAAATAATTTTAATTAGTGTGAATTCTCAAAAATTAACTAAGAAGAAAACTTTTTTTAATGGAGATAATAGTAATTTTTGCAAATAAAATAACAATTGTGGAGTTCATGAGGGGGGATTCAAAAGTGTAATCATATATTCGGTTTTTGGATCAATTTATTCTAGCAAACATTGCATTTTTATGAAGCCGTTGCGTTAATTTTTTTTAAATCAATGGAGAAGTTAAAGTATTCAGCAAAAAATCTATCCATTAATTTCAATTATTTCAAGTTACAAAAGAGGGAAAACATTCTTTATTTTGAATTCTGTGTTAGTAAAAAAAAATTGGGTCCGCCTGTCAAAACTTCTTTCCTCATCTTCATCGACCATGCTCGTTCCGCTTAATCTAAAAATAGCATGCGATTTTCCGTTTGTGCGAAGATGAGGGGTTTAAACAAAGGGAGAGTGTTTGATAAAGGGAGGAGTTCGAACGAAGTCATTGTTCGTCGAATCAGCGTCTAATTACCTAATGGCGAAGTAATTTGAACGACACAGCCTCGCTGTAAATGGCCTCTGACTAAAACACGGCGGGTCGGATTAGTATTTTCAGGTGAGTGCTCAAAACACACAAACACAAAACACGAGCGCGGAAAGGCGAACCCCGAGAGCAGCAACAACAGCTCCCCGAATGCATTTTTGCTTCTTCCGCGCTTTTACTTGCCCGGATTGAATTACGCCGGTGCCATCAAACATTTTGGGTTTCGGGTAACCTTTTGAATCGGAAAATGGCCGCCGACAATGAAACCCTGCGATCGTCCGCCACCGACCTTATCCGCATTAGCCCAAAGAGAGGCACGCAGCATCCCGCGCCATACATTTTCGATTTTTAATGAGAACGAACGTGTTGGTATATCAGCTTTCACCACACTATCTCTCTCTCCTAAAATCACTCCACCCTTCGGATCACTTTTCCTAACACTATAATGAGCAAAACACGGTGACATTTTTTTTATCTACTTCAAAAAGGGAAGTTTTATTTCATTGTGTTTTGTAATTTGATTTTCATTCACTTTTGCCACTTCAATTTTTTAAAGGGTTAGGAAAAACGTATTTTAATATAAATGTTGAAATCTATAGAATTTTTTTCAACAAGAAAATCTTTTTTGATAACAATGGAAATAACCAACAATTGATAGAATAATATTTAGCAGGCTTGGTTTAGTAAAATTGTGCAAAATTGTATAGCATGAATATTTCCTATGAATTTTTTTTTTTTTTTTTTTAGAAGAAAATGGTCCAAAGTTCAGTTTCCGAGACAATAATCAGAATTAATTAAACTAAGGCATACGCAAAAGCAAATTAACGGGGAAAAAATTAATCTGGAAAAAAAAATTCTGCAAATATGGAATAATCAAAGAATTTTCACAGCAAAATTCACTTTAAAATTACCAACAAATCTTAAAATATCGCGGATGACGTCAAGCTTGTAATTAAGTTTTTTTAAAGCCGTCCAGCATTGAAATGAAACTTCAGTTAAAAATAAAAAAAAAATATGCAGAATTAATACCTATACGGGGAAAATGAAAATGCACCGCGCTTTAAACCCGTATTATTGTAATTAATATGTTTTTCACATTGATAAAGCGAGAATTTGTTTTGCAAAAACGGAACAAATCAGCAGAGTGCACGTTATTTAATCCAATTGAGAGTAAATCCGCTCGCGCTGTAATTTGCCTCTAATTTTTGCACTCCAACGTGGAGTCGCCGTTTCACATTCGTTCATACAGGCGGAGTTGCGCAGCATTAGTAATTAAAGCAACCTTTGCAATCGGGTTGAATGCAAAAACACCCTGCGTCCGTGAACAAACTGCGAGCGCACACACTGGTGCTCGCGAGGGGCAAAAAGCGGTGCAGCAGCCAGAACAACTCTTTGATCCTAATGCGAGCTGTTGTTCGCCGTGCTGCCTATAGTGTTTGGAAAATTGCTTCAAACGCGGCACGGCGCGGCACCCCCTGCTCGACGCAAAATGTTCGCACATACTCTAGCTCGTGTATATGTAATTTGAGTATGTGCTACATAAGCATCGCTTGTGTTATGTATTACAGTGACTTGCACGTGTGTGAAAGAACTCACTTTAAGCAGTAGCGAGTAAAGTTCTTACTCAAGACCCGTTTAAATCCTTTAAATATTTTCCACCTGGTACGATAAACGCTTTAATTTCTTCGATTTTTGCCATTTTTTCCACTTTGCTACACAGTGTTGAACTACTTTTAATTAATTGTTGTCGTTGCTTTTTAACAAACAAAAACGTAAGTCAGATAAAAAATTTGATTATATGTTTAATATATCTTAACCTTCTGCGTACAACTGGGTTGAAATTCTAGTTCTGTTTAGTCTCTTTATTCAGAAAAATCAACAAAAATGATAAAATGTTGATGAAAATCGATTTTATTACGGCTACAAATTAGAGAAGATCCTGCTATTATTTTCAGAGCTTCAAATAAATTTTTATCATTACTAAATTAATTAAATTTGCACGAATTTTGATATGCAAAACCGGAAAAAAACCTACTAAATAAAGCTTACATTTGCACAATTTTTTGCATGATTGCAATAACAAGATCCATCTAAATTTACTAAACAAATCAATTTAAGCCACTTTCTGTGACCAATGATTTTTGCCCAAACTGCGTAGATCAATATGAAAAGTAAATTAAATACAGCAAACAACTTCGTGAATTTGAATCCAGCTTATCCCACTCCGTGAACGTTTGCAATTCAAACTTAATAGACTTGCCTAGACAAAAAAAGGGTTCCTGAACTAAATTTTAAGACTGCTGTAATTTGGAATGAAGCGCAAAAATTATATGAGGCGTCGACAGAATAACTCTCTCATGGTCACCAAAATAAAAAAATGATAATTATTTAAAAATCCTACCTGAGTGAAGGTCATGCGCTGACTGGTCTCGACCAGGGTGAAAATCTTTCCAGGTCCGCTTGCTGATGATGACTGTCTGATAAGTCAATGTCTTCAAAAGAGTCCTTCTGATCCAGGACTCAATTTTTATTTATGCACGGCTCTGGTTCCTGCGATCCACTGACTGCAACTGAAATTCAATTAAGTTTATTAATATGGTGATTGGTTTCAATAGCATAACAATTAAAACTTCTTTAGCCTTGGCATGTGTCCTTGGGTGAGAGCTGACGCGTGCGACTGACACAATACACCAGGGCCACCCAGCATTCGCAAGTTGGAGATAGATGAGGGTTTTTGCCTGCAACATGTCCTGCTTACAAGGACACTGTCCACGACAAGCGAATATATGCCTGCATGCACAGAGAACGCTTCCAAATGCAGGACAGGAAGGGTCGGTCGCAGACATGCAGCGCCCTGGCCTGCAAGCGGACCTTGACCTGCTCGCCCCGTCTTCCTCATTCAACGCCGCTTCCAACAAGATGAACAAGATTTTACTCAATAAACTCAATTGGTACTTTCCTGCCGATTAGAAAAAATCATTAGCTTGTAGTGTACCAACTAAATAATATATTATCTGAACTTTAATGAC